AACACAAAATAGCTTTCCACATGCATATAATCATACAGTGCATATATAACCCATAATACATATGTCTTCATAGTCGTAAAAATGTCATGTTTCTAGCTTATGTATACTATCATACTTTCTACCTAAAAAGTATACTGGAGAACAGTGAATGCTAATACTTGTAGGTGATAGCAATCAATCTCCTGGGTTTCTTGAGTGTTGTAGTTTCATCCCTACTTAATTTTCTTTCAAAGACATCACCATGAGGTTCATCATGGCAAAGCCAGTGCTAGTGACAGCAACAGAGGCAAAGGAGAAGTATTGATTTAGAACGGAAACAAAAGATTATTAAACACAATGGTGGAAAATCAGTGAATGCTATTGTTTGGGATTTGGGCATGTCTTACTAACAATCAAAACCAATTTGTTTTGATGATCTTCAAAATCAAAGGAGAAATTCTCTAAGCTACTAAAGGATCGGCTCCACTGAAAGTTAATAAACAAGTTTAATAAAAACATGAGAAGGACCTACGTCAGGTATGGAGAAATTACAAGGGAACCCCTCTCAGCACACTGAGGACTACTGTTAATGCATGATGTATATTGTAAAGGCAGAACCAGTTACCGTGTTCTCACAATGACCAAATCACAGAATGTCCTATTTCACAGAACCTTTCTTGGTGTGGTGCATTGTATGGTAAGCTCTCAACCACAAGGTTGACAATTCAAGTCTATCAGCCACTCCTCAGAAACTCTATATAGGGTTGCAATGAGTTGTAACCACAACAACGGCATTAAACAACAACAACACTGTGGATGTTAAGTGGCTCATGACTGTATTTTGATCAGAAATCCTGTTACCACTGTTAAGTGCCGTTGAGTTGATTCTGACCATAGCTTCCAAGGAGCTGCTGGTGAGCTGGAGTCACCAACCTTGCAGTTCAAATGACTTTGCAGTCTGATGCATTAGGCCACAGTGTCACACCAGGACAGCTTCAGGTACATATATACATAATTTTTTTTTAATAATCATTTTTCAAAGCTGTGTAGAAATAGAATTTCCACTCAAGGAGCCAGTGCAAACTGGACTATATGAAGAACAGGGCAACAGGACTGAGGATAGCTCAGGGCATTGCAGGGACAGAATAAATATCTATTATGCTAAGAATTGGTCAATAAGGTAAAATTTATCTGAATTAAAATGGTTCCATTATAGCCCCCCAATGCAAAATGTTACTGGTGTTGTTAAGTGCCATTGAGTGGGTTCTGACACACACAGACCCTATAAAGGGGTTCTGACACACACACAGACCCTGTAAAGGGTTCTGACAAGTGACTGGTAAATATAAACTGCTAATCTTGCAGGTCAGTGCTTATTCTACAGCGCCACACCAGGACTCCACAACAGAGATCAACACATAGGGAAAACAGCATAATGGCAAGGGAGACAGAGATTGGAGTGATATGTGTACTTGCCAGTGAAAGGTGACGACCACTGGAAGCTAGGACGAGGCAAGGGAGGTGCCCATCTAGGCCTTGGGAAAGAACATGGCCCTGCCAACTCCTTGCTTGTGGACTTCTAGTCTCCAGACTGCGACATTTAATGTCTTGTTTTAAGCCATCTGATTGGTGGTACTTTGTTATAATAGTCGGCAGGAGTGCCCGTGTGGCACTGTAGGCTAAGGCGTCAGACTGCAAATTTGTTTGAAATGCAAGGTTGGTGGTTCAAGCTCACCAGCTGCTCTTTGGAAATCCCATACAGGGTCACTATGGGTGGGAATTGACTCAACAGCACTTAACAACAACCTGTGATTATGTGCTGTGCTGTCTTTGTTAATCACTACCACCAGTATTTATATGTACTGTGGTGTGGGTTCCAACTCATAGTGACCCAGTATAGGGCTTCTGAGGCTGTAAATCTTTACCTGAGCAGAAAGCTTCATTTTTTTCTCATGCAGAGCTGCTGGTAGATTCGAACTGTTGATCTCGAAATTAGCAGCCCAACTCACCACCCAGTACATTACCAAAGTTCCTTGAGGCAAAATAGCCATGCCTTTTGGATTGCCTCAGGGAAACTGAGCTCTGCTCCAGATTGCAGCATGTTGGATTTCCAGGTTACCTTGTAGGGTGTAAGTCTTGCACCCCAGTGTCTCTCCTGAGCTCCCTGTCTTCACAGGGATTAAACATGCATTCAAGGGCTCCTTCAATGGGTCTGCATCCTAGTGTTTCTATGGAAAGCCTTGTGGCCCAAACACCCTCTTGACAGAGTGTGGCGCTGTGGGTTAATGCGCCAGACTGCAAAGCTGTTTGAATTACAAGGTTGGTGGGTCACGGTCACCAGTGGTTTCTCAGAAACCTTACACAGGGTTGCTATGGGTCAGACACTAGATGGTACTTCACAACAACAACAACAAACAGAAGAAAAGCAGTGCAAGAGCAAGGTGTTTGAAGTGGGCTGGGATACTTGATGATAGAGTTACTTCTGTTTGTGTGTGTATTGGGGGGGACTCTATGTATGCGCATCAAAATGTATTTACATCTCCCAAACCATTGTTGTGTGTGGGGGGGTGTTCTATATTTATGAGCATCAACATACATTTATATCTCCCAAACCACTGGTTTTCAACAGTCACTGCGCCTCAGAAGTTTTTTTTTTTTAATACTCAAATTCAGGAGGCACCCCTACCAATTAAGTCAGAATCCCTGGGGTGGGACTCAGGCATCCATATTTTTGAAAGCTCTGCCAGCAATTCCAATAGATAGTCAGTGGTTCTAAAGAGAGCCTCATACTGTCTTATAACAGGGAACCTCATACATTTTTAAAACCGTCTCTTGCAGAGCTTTGGTAATATGATTCGTTTTTGTTTTATTTATTTCTATTTCTCATAAACAACTTCTAAGCATTGGCACAATGTTGCCATCTGTGAGGCATATGACAATAACAGACGGTTACCTAATAACTAGGAAGGCATTAATGTTCAGAGGCTAAATGATTTGGATTCATCTGGTATGATCTGTGTTGATGAAGCTACTTAATGCTTGATTTCTGTGCCTTTCGATGGGAGCACCATAAGTGGGAAAGCCGTATTTTCTGGGCTTTGCATTGCTTTTTTTTTTTGTCATCCTACTGAATTGCTACAAGATGGATTTATAACAGACCTAAAACTAGTTTCAAAATGAAAATTAGTTCTGGAGTAGAAGAACAGCAATCCCGTTTGACTCGCCTGTAGCAATTGCGTCATATCTGCATTTGCAAAAAAGAAAATGACTTCCTAATGCGGTTTTCTTCCACTCTGGAGAATTAAATCTATGTGGCAAAATGTAAAACCACTGTGCTAGCAGCCAGATTCTCAACAGAAGATCCATGACCCTCATAAACATATTAGTGGCCCAGTTATATGCTAATGAACCTCATTTAGGCTCAAACTCACCCTGAGTGGAAATACAACTCAGTTGGAGAGCAAGGCACTTTTGCTTGTTCCCGCCCTGTTTTGCCTTCAGTATCAAAGTTTGTTCTGAAGTCAATAGAGTAATTTCTCTATCTGCTGCAAGCTGACAGGGTGGGTGAGGGTCTCTTGGTTAGATAGGAGTGTTTGGAGCCTGAGATACCAAACTTGACTCTCTTAGTTCCTTGTCTTTTCGCTGGGTTGACAAATTCTTTTTCAAGTTTCTAGTTTTTTGAGTCAATACACTCAGTGACTGACGTAGGATAACCAAACTCTAAATGAACAGACTTCTGAAAGATTTTTAAGTGACTCAAGTGCCTAAAACCAATTGTTAATTGTTTGCTTGTTTCATACTCATGTTTCATACTCAGATTAATGATGATAATTCAAGGGCCATGAACACTATTTGGCTGTTTTGCTTTCCTGAACAAAATTCCAAGCAGATAGAAGAGACACTAAGGCACAGAGTTATTGTTGCTGTTAGGTGCCATCCAGTTGATACCAACTCATAGTGACCCTACGCACAATGAAAGGAAACACTGCCCAGTCCTGGGCCAACCTCACAAGCGTTGCTACATTTGATTCCTTTGCTGCAGCCTCTGTGCCAATCCATATAGTTGGGGATCTTCCTTTTTTTCTCTGAACCTCCATGATACCCTTCTCCAGGGACAGGCCCCTCCTGACAATATGTCCAAAGTATGAGAGACGAAGTTTGGCTATCCTGGTTTCCAAGGAACTTTCTGGTTTTACTTCTTCCAACACAGATTGGTTTGTTCTTGTGGCAGCCCATGGTACTTTCACTATTCTCCTTCAGTAGAATAGTTCAAACGGATCAATTCTTCTACTGTCACATTATTTACTGTTCAACTTTCACTTGCATATAAGGTCACTGAAAATACCCTGGCTTAGTTCAGATGCACCTTAGCTGTCGAACTGACTTTGCTCTTGAACACTTTAAAGAGGTCCAGCGGTGAGGATTTTTGTTTTCTTTACATTGATGTGCAACCCATAGCCAAGGCACAGAGAGCAGTGGGTAAACTGCAGGCTACCTTACAGGAATGATGGAGAATGGAGTCTGCCTATCCCAGGGAGACAAACTCAATGCTTTCAGCTCTGGGGACTAAAACAAATGAGCAAGGTGCACTGAGCATGAGAACAGTAGGGAATATGGTGAACCGGAGAGCATCTAGCCCCCAAACGATCTGGTGGGCCATTCTCTAGTGTCAGCTCATCATTTGACAGGATGGTGAACGGGCAGAATGCAGAGTACGATGGATACTTTATTTCAGAAGCTGAAGGTGTGTATTCCACGGTTCTACTCAGACACACATCATTACTCCAGGGCACCTGGTTCAAGAACCTAGGACTTTAACCTGAAGGGCCTCTGAGTTACTGAAAGGATTCTGAGCTTTTAAATCTATTGTAAAATTTTGACATGCATCTAACATGGTAAATGCACACACCTGCAGGCCTCTGATTTGCATGCTCTGTTGCGTGTTTCCCCCACATCACTTGTTCAGGATGATTCCAAGGACCCATTAAGGAACTGGTGCATTTTTTGGTTTCTCTCCAAAGCTGCAGAAACATGACAAAGACGAGGACTCCCCGGCAACTTGGAGATCGGAGGAGGAAATGATGGCGGAAGCTGCAGCGCTGCGTGTCTACTTCCAGTGATGCAGGTATGGGCTATGCGGACAACCCAGGAGGCTCGGGAAAAAAGGGGTTCTCTGCTGAGAGGGGGGCTACACAGCAACAACTGCACATCATTATTGGGTGATGGCTGCAAAGATGCAAAAGCTGAGGGGAGCCAACCAGGGCTTTGGAAGGACTTATTCCCAGCACCCCTGTCTCCTCTGTCCTCGTAATCTCTACCACCTTCTACACAACTGTGTTGTCTGTTTACTACCTTTCACCCCAGCCCCTATCCAATCCAGTCACTGTTGAAAAAGGTCAGACCTTTTAAGAGAATCACAGGGCTCTCAGCTTAAAGTCTTTTATGTAAGACAGCTATCCAGGTATCCTGGAGTCAGCTCTGATCCGTGGTGACCCTGTGTATGTCCCAGTAGAACTATGTTTTGTAGAGTTTTCACTGGCTGATGTTTCACAAGTAGATGGTCAGGCCTTTCTTCCAAGGAGCATTTGGATGGACTCAAACCTATAATCTTTCGGTTAGCAGCTGCCTTAGTTACATAGAACTGCTGTAAGAGAAATGGAAGACTGGTGTGGTGCGGCACAATAAGCACTGAAATGCAAGGTAGTTTGAGCCACAAGGTTGGTGGTTCAGACTCACCAGCCTTTCCTCAGAAGCCCTATGCTGGTCCTATATGAGCCCTACGTGAGTCAGAATGGACTCCATGGCACTTATGCTGTTGTTAAGAGAAATACCACAAGCGGATGACATTAGCTAACAGAAATGTCTTCTCTTACAGTTCAGCAGGCTAGATTACAGTTCAGCAGGCTAGAAGTCCAAACTTAGGGAAGGCTCTGTCTCTGTCACCTCTGGAGGCAGGTCCTTGTCTCTTTGAGCGTGTGCTTCTGCGCAGTGTTGATGTGCTCTGGAATGTCATTTCCTCCATATCTATCTAGGACGTTATCAGCACAGGCACCCCAGGTCCAAAGGACATGCTCCCTGCTGACTCTTCTTCCTTGGTGGTACTGGAGCCCTCCTCTACTGACTTTTCTTTCTATCTGTTGCAAGATAATAGCTGATAAGTGCTGATAAGTGCTAGACCTCAAGGTGGGTTTGAACCACTGGTCAGCAGTTCAAACTCACCAGCTGTTCCTCAGAAACTCTATACAGGGTCGCTATGAGTCAGAACCAACTCAGTGGCACTTACCAACAACCTCTTCTAAGGTTCTTACAGCTGAGTGCCTTATCACATGATGACCAAGGTACATCATTACATACCTACCAAATCACTAAGAATCATGACCCAGCCTAGTTGACATGTATTTTTGGAAGATACAACTCAATAATTGATGACAACAGGCAAGCACATCAATCACTCCGATTCCACAAAGTCAGCACTGGCTCTGAGCCACATCAGCCAAGCCCCGGCATATTACTTTCAACTGTAGACTTTTCTTTTTCCTCAGTTGTCATTTGGTAAATTGGTAAATTGTTCTTTGTGTATCCTTTTAGTTTTCCCTGCTAGGAACTCTGGTCACAGGGAAATGCCAGAGTTGTTACCTCTGTGTATAAGTGATGCTTAACTTTTGGGCGATCATTTATTTAAGACTCTGAGAGAAGACTGTAGCCAATTCTCTCTTTTCAAATTGCACATGCAAACCAAATATTTATACAGTGAATCTTCTAAAATGTGTTAAATAAGGCTGCCAGGCATTATTTGGGACATACCTAGTCAGAAAAATAAATCAATAAATAAAAACTTGGAACTTTATCATACAGGTCCTGTAATTCTATTGAAAGGTTTTTTTTGCTATTGTATATCGTTTCATTGCCATGATTACAATCCTCTCCATGAATCATTAACCAACCAAAGGTTATTATATACCCCACAAGCCTGCCCTCTGGTAGTCAGCACACAACCCCTGTCCCTCTCTAGGTCTAGAGTCCCCAGCCACGCCATCTCTCCACATCATCACCTCTGCCACCATCTCTGGTGTCACTGTTTCTCTGGGTATGGTCCCACACTCCGCTCTTGTCCCTCGATGGTCCCAGTCTCCTCCGCTCCTGGCCTGCAAAGTCAACCACTTGCCTCCTTTTGCCACAAAACGTCAACCCCATCTCCTTTCATGAATCCTGCCCAGACACACTGGATACATACTACTTAGTGGTGATTCTATCTTCCTCTGTGCCCTCTGGTTCTAGGCTCCTTCTTGAAAGCCAGTCACTTCTTGCCTTTGTAAGCACCCTCCCACCCCACCCCATCCCATTTTGGGTAGCCAATGTCCAAGTTGCCCATCATTGTCTACCCTGTGTATCGAGGGGGTGGAAATGATCCTTGCTGTAAAGATTTGTTCCTTTTTTTGACCTACTGCATCCATAGGTGTAGGTCAAGCTCATCAGATTACTCTTTTTTCCCCCTCTTCTTTCTTCTTTTAGGGAAACCTATACAGGGTTGCTATAAATTGGAATTGATTTGACAGCACACAACACTACTGACCCCAGGTCAAGATCCTCTCCTCTAGTTTATTTTTCCTCTCTAGAGCTGTCTGCTTCATCTGGGCTGCCCAATTGTGCTTAAAAGTGAATGAAACAAATCAGATATGAATTAAAACCACAGTTAGTTCACAAGTTTTGTTCAGTGCCCTGAGTCAGCTCTGATTCTTGTTGTTGTCGTTAAGTGCCGTTGAGTCAGTTCCAACCCAAAGTGACCCTGTATAGAGTTTACGAGGACCAGCTGGTGAGCTTGAACCACCAACCTTGCAGTTCAAATGGCTTTGCAGTCTGGTGCATTAACCCACAGAGCCAACCCAGGACTCAGAGCAACCCTTTATTAGAGTTTCCAAGGAGTGGCTGGTGACTTAGGACAAGTGACCTTGTGGTCCAATGCATTATCCTGCAGCGCCACACTAGGACTGGTAGCAAGTAAATAATATAAAACTGTATCAACTAGCTTTGTTTACTTCTACCCCCACCCTTTATTGTTCAGTTCTATTGTGTTTATTGTTGTTAGGTGTCATTGAGTCTATTCAACTCCTGGAGATCCTGAAGAGGGTTTCCAAGGAGCTGCTGGTTTGAACTGATGACCTCGCCCTGAGCAGTCCAGTGCTTATCCTAAAGCACCACTCCTTAGGCCCCAGCATTCCAGAAAGCTTATTTCCTTCTTCCATGTCATTGTTTTATTGGTGGGGCGCTCAGTTGCCTGGAGGAATGTTATGTGGCATTAGCAGAAGCTGTCTTTTGTATTTGATTTTTAACCTTTTCCACTATTCACTTTCTCATTTTTTGGTTGGATCAGGCTAGTTTACATAAGAACACAGGCCTGTGTGCATGACTGGCAGATCTGTTTCTGTTTCTTTTCTGAAAGCCAGCATGTCATTTAAAAGTGTATGTCATTTAAAAGTGTTCCTTCCAATGGGGTCACCATTCTTCAGACCTGATTCTCTGAGCTAGGCTTCCCTCCTCCTCCATCCTTGTGTTTTCTTTGTAATAGTTGCTTGCAGGTAGAGGCAAAAGAAAGTTCTAAGCTTTACTCTGGCTGGCTGAATTGTAGGATGCTGTTTTATATTGCATTTTCTAGACACTTTAAAAGGATTTAAACTATCAAACTTTTCTGAATGCTTTGTTTTGTCAGTTTCTACTTCTGTCTTGCCTTGAGGCCTGACATCTCCTGCCATCCAGGTCTTGGCAGAAAGATATTCATCCTAACTTGTTATACAATCTATAGCTGTAGTGCCTGGTTTTTGTTTTTTTAGTTAACTAATATTTGTATTCCACTTTAAGGATCTTTGTTCATAGACCAAACAATTCACCTTCAATCATCCCTGCAGTGGTAACTGAGTCATGCTGTTGTTTTTAAGTACCATAGAGTCAGTTCCGACTTACAGCCATCCTGTACAGGGTTTCAGAGGAGCAGCTGGTGAGCTTGAACTGACCTTGCAGTCCAGCGCATTAACCCACAGCGCCACACCAGGACTCAAACTGAACTATAGCATAGTATGAAAAAGTGACCAATCGTCCCCCCACAACACTCTCTGCTTCTTGAGTTTCGATAAACCACTGTAGCAGCCATACTGAACTCAGGCAGGGTACCCAGAATGATGGAATTGATTAAGGAAGTTGGTAGTACTGGTGGTTATATGCTGTGGAGTCGATGCCTACTCACACCACCCTGTCTGTATAGGTTTTCCAAGGCTATAAATCTTGACAGAGACAGAAAGCCTCATCTTTCTCCTGCAGAACCTTCTGATAGTTTTGAACTGCCGACCTTGAGGTTAGCAGCCCAACTCTTAACCACTACACTATCAGAGCTCTAATACTCAGGACAACTCCTCAGTCATGCCCACAGGCAGGTCTCTGTCTGCCCTGGCAGTTTTCTAGAGCTCATTTGGGGCTGCTGATGAATGCCCACTGGACACACCACTCCACTATAAACCTCAGCCTGAAGGCACTCAGCTCTAGCTCCATGGGCTGGCAAACATAGTTTTCCCAATTAAGTACCTGGTGGCACCCTGCTCTTTAAGCGAGCCTCCTGCCCACAGTCACTCCACTTTACTTGATCTGTGGACTGGGAAACCCACAGCTGTGTCTTGTGCTCTGAGTCTTGATTCTGCAACTGTTTGTCTGCTATTTTCTGGTCACAGCTGTCTCCCGTGGGTCTAGGAAGTTCAATATGCAGTGATTTAAGGATCCACAGGGTGTGCACGGCTCTTTACTCTCCTTCTTTGATGGTTGTGTGATCCCCCTTCCTGCTTCTCAGTTGGCTTATGTTATTCCCATGCTAAGATTTCAAGTTTTTAAAATTACAGTGAACTGTGTTAAGATCCATAGTTGAATCATGTCAGTATCTTCTCCCACCTTTTCTTCTTACCCAGACCTAGTAGGAAAAAGTCATTTGATGGGTGTTACAAAGACTCCCACAAAGACTAAGGCTAGGAAAGATATATTAAATCATTCATTACACCACACATAGATTTCCAATTAACTGGGTGAAACCTAGGGATACCATGAGTCCAAATCGACTCAAAGTCACTTGGCTTGAGATTTT